ATTGCAGTTTTTAAAAAAAAAAAAACAAACACAAACCTGTCCTCAACCAACTATAATTAAAGACTTCAGCAGGAAAAAAGTTTAAATATATGAAATTGCTCCAGTCTTGCACCTGTTCTTAACAAAGTTCTGTTTCCTGCACAGATGAGTTGACACATCCTCCTTCTGAAGCTCTACAGCTGTTAACTTAGATACTGATACTAGAGAATTTTTCTGTGCAGGAACTGGTATCAACATACTTCTGGAGGCTGAGAGAGAAAGGAAATTTTCTCCCCAGACTGATTCCCAGTATCTCCTCCAAATTCAACCAGATTCTCTCCACTGTCTGACACAGTATGTGGAAAGTAACAGTAAATATTGTTGACAATTCACAAAAGGATGGGCTATTACCAATTTCCATTGAGATCTCCTTGTATTGTAAAATCTAGCCATTTGAGTACCTGAAGTATTTTTTAGGTTCATATTTTATAAGCACAGATTTCCACATTTTGCTTATGTAACAGATCTGTATGATAAAAACTGTCTTAAAAATATCCAAGTATGGAGGTATATTTGTGACAATGAAAGGAAAGAGGGAAAGGCAAAGAATACATTTGTAAAGGAAAAGAGAACTGGCATAATGAATGGCAGAATAGAGCCCAGTGAACAGAAGGAAAGAAGGCATGGGAACTGAAATTATATTGGATACTATAATAATGCCAAACTTCCACAGATGAACCTTCTTCTGAGTAACTCCCTCATCCTCTCAACTAAAAACTGTTAATAAGATCTAAAAAAAAAAAAAAAAAAGGGCAAATTGCTTGTTGGTTTCTTACTAGTCTTTGATAAAATAAACTGTACCCAGAGTATGAGAATTAATGACCATCAGAAATTCTTTCACCAATGGAGGATGTTCATTCTCAAACACTGGAGATCAAAACAGGTATCTTTACCCTTAGAGTACTGGCAATAGTAACTACTTTTGATGGAAAAGTCTCCGGTTCAAAGAATAACAACGTGTTAAATTCACTTGACAATGAGATAGCTGTCAGACAAGCAACCCCCTAACTTCCCATACACGTATGGATGAGCAATATGCTTTAACATAAGGACTCCTTCCTTCAAATATGTATCTGCAGTTTTGCAAAAACACAGACCATATACCATACTACATACTATCTTGCAATGCTTTTGTGCTTATAAATAAGTCCAAATGTATACTCAGCAGATAAGTCAATTCCCGTTACTCAAAATTTTTTTTCTGAAGTACTTGCCTGTAGTTACCACATGGTGGTATCCATGCTAACAGTCTCTCCTATATTGTAGTGAAGTTAATACCTGATTTGCTTCTGTGGATCTCTTCGGACTGATAAGGAGATGCCATTTTAATTAACTGAAAAGACAGGAATGCCAACTTGCCTTGTCAATACAGATCTGGGACTGGTGCAATTCTTACACAACTTCTGGCAACCTAAATGCTGAGGGAATAATTCAAGTACTAACCCAATAAAGCCTTATCCTTGGAAGAAATTGGCATGTTCCTTGTTTTCTCACTTCAGCAATTATTACACTGGCATCTCCTCTTCTAAAAGCATGGTATTCACAGCTTTGCTTCATAAAGAATGAAAAGAACCATTGTATTTTAAATGCTGCCTAAGAAAATAGTCAAGATAAGAAAGAAAGGTACATTAGCGGTAAGTGTGTCATGTGTGTTTGCTCTGCGGTAGCAGAAGAATATTGAGATGAAGAGCTAGCTCCAAATGCAAAACGCTACGACCATCAGACCCAGTTCCCTGCGTAACACCACATCTGGGGAGGATGCAGTGGGGCTGCTGTTGGAACAGAAACAAACCAACAACAGTTAAATGAAACACACCTGGTACATGCTACACCCTTCCTTTTGGCAAATACATTCTTTCGATTTAGTATTGATTTCATGACTTGTGACACTACACATCAAATATGACATGGGTTTTCATAAAAAGGGTCTTAAAAGAACAAAACTATTTAAAAATTGTAAAAGGATGGAGAAATAAGGAAAAGGATACATGTTTCAGTCCAAAACATTCAGTTCAGAATGTCTTGACTGACATTATCTGGATGCAAGTTTCTCCCAGCAACTCACATGTTAAAAAAACCCTACTTTTTCACCCTCAGTGTGGTCAAGTTCACTATTTTTAGGTATTTTAGCTCTATGTAATTTAATGATTTCACCCAAATAATCTTAGCATTTGAAAATAATCATGATGATCATTCGGCTGACATCAAAAGCATCATAGAGCAGTGTTTAGAACACTATAGGTTATTTGCACAGGTGATCTAACAGCTTTAAATCAATATTCTAAGAAAATTTCCAGTCACACAAGATGCACACTTAACGTTAAGAACATAAATGCCCTAATATTTATTAAGCAGGTTGCTTATTTGTATTATCAAAACTAGACCACAGAAAGAGTATTTCCTGCCTTCTGTGTTTCTCTCACATGTAGGTGAAATACTTGTACATCAAATGAAAATACCAGAACAGTCACCTGCACTCCAGAACACCAGTGTGAACAGTGATAGTGGAAAATAACTCCTTGACAATTTCGTTATTAAGACATCCTCTTACACTTACTATTGCTTTCATGTTGAATAGAAAGACCCTTTCAAGTCACAATGTTTTTTGAAGACTAATAGGGACAGAAAAAAACAATTATCAAGATAGATTTAGAAAGAGTGGAACAGACTAATAAAAATTCTTTGGTACAATGTACAAGCAAGCATCTCACCAGAATGAAAAATGCCTTGAAAATAAATACAAAGGAACTTGTTCTTCTGCAAAGTGCTTCAATAAAATACATGACAGATTGCACCAAATGGAATTCCAAAGACAACAAATGTTCCTCTGAAGTATACTTATAAGCCATAATTAAAGATATCCTTGCCAAGCTTTTCGGAAAGAAAAATTATGAAGTCTCCTAGGAAGCAGTTACCCACTCAGTTCTTCATAGGTTGTATACCTTGGAAGTCTTTTATAGACTACTTTCCACCATCCTCAGGCACAGTATGGTCTAGTGACAATTCTCCAAATATGCTCTGATCTGAAATCAATTGGTTCATATACAGGTGCTAGAACTATGCATAAGCATCATGTTCCACCATTAGTTATCCTAATTAGCATTTTATTTCAGATTAACTTCATTTTCAGCTTTTTCTTAGGGTGCTCTTTCCATTTGTACCAAAACACAGGTAAGCCAATACCACCTGCCGCTTTACTGAACCGCAGTCTCCAGAGGTGCCTTGGGTTCTCAAACTCAGTAGGTTTGGCAGAGTGACTTCTATTAGTGCCAAAAAAAGCAGAAAATTAGGAGGTTTATGAAATTGTATTTTAAAAAAAAAAAAACCAACCCCCCAAAAAACAAACCAAAGGAAAAAAAACCACAAAACCTCAGGAGTTTCAACTTTCCACTTGAGACTGGGAAATAAAAGCAGTAGAAAAGAAAGCTTTCTGGGAGTTTGGGAAGGTAGTGATCTGATACACTGCTGCACTTCATACCGACACCTTTGATCGAGGACTACTGGCAGGTCACACGTTTCCAAGGCTGCCACCTTAGAAAACTGAAATACTTACTTTGAAATGCCTATCCTATTACAAAATAGAGCACAATGCCTGGAACAAACAGTGCTCCATCTGTTTTCTTGTGTTCTGTTTTCTTTTTCATCTGACAAATCATGAAGGAGATGAAAATATTAATTTGCCCACACCACCATAAAGAAACACCTTTCCTTCCAGTCTTGCAGCTGAAGAATCAACCAGTTTTAGCCCACTCCATTTAGGTGAGCTGCTACATTTCTCCAGTTAAACGGGCTGCACACCAACAGAGGCATTGCACTTAGACTCGGTTCTCTCAAGGTAAAAAGATTTCCAAAACCGGCAGCTCATTCTGCATGGATTTCCAAATAATAGTTCTATACAAAAGAAGCCTCAGCAGGTGCTGAGCATACATCTCTGCAATGCACAAGGTCTAAAATGCTTTTTAGCAAATCAAAGGGAGGAACAATGCAGCCTGGACTTGGAATACATGGACAGAAACCAGCAAAGGCTGGAAATCTTCCCTTTGTCACCCATTACACTCAGCAGCCTCGCCAACACCAACTGCTGCATACATCCACGCTAAGCCCGTTTCTCAGAACCAGCACTGTAAAAAAGTTTGAAAGGGCAGCAGAAAGAAGCGAGAGGAAGGAGCAACAACATACTGGAAAAGCCTAGGAACCTTTGCAGAACTGATACTTAGCGGAACTAACTCAGTTTGAGTCATCTAAAATAAGTGATTCTCAGCCTGCCTCTACATATTGTTCTCCGAACTTTGATTTTTACCTTTTTTCCTCAGAAAAGAACACATGGACTCTATTACTACCCTGAGTGTCTATGTCTCCCATCAGCAACTTTTGAGATCCATACCTGAGATTTTCAGGCTTACTTATTTATTAGTAAATTTGGAAAATGAGGGGTCCCTCCTGCTCCCTATTCTGTAAATATTGCAACAGAAAGAAAAAGGTCATGATCTCGCATTTGCCCTATGTTGTAGAGACTCCCGTACAGTGGCACACACCTACTTTCTCTCCCTGGGCCACTTTCCAAACTTCCCCTCCCACAGTCAGCTCTGAAGGCACAAAGCATACAGCTCCTCTCAGAGGAAGAAAGTTCAAAAGCCTTACTAAAGCCTTCCATTCACAGCAGGAAATTCAGCCAAACTGGGCAAAATCTACAGAATCTGAAATTTAAAAACCACTGCTGTGTATTTTTGCACTTGTTACCTTTCTTACTCTTTTGTCTTGAAGCAATGGACACAATCTTTTGTTTACAGAGGGCCACACTAGCAAGCAATTTTCTTTTTAACACACTTTGACTTATAATTAACTGTGCCACCTCCCAACACTCAACCTTCTCCTGAGGCATCTAGAAAATCTTCACTGGGTACCACAAAAATATCTTAAAAATATGGTCTGTAGTATAGAACAATAATAAAAAGGGTTACCTTATCCTTTTATCTTCAACTTTTTTCAGATACTCATCTCTCTTCAGTACTCCCAATATCGTTTCTTTTTCATGTTCCAGCAAAAATGACAAATTGATGATCTCCAAGTGCTTCGTCATGATTCTTCAACAGCCACTCTTTCAATGACTGCTTTGCCCAATCAACTCTTCCAACAATTTATTTGCACAAGTCCAAAGGCACGTTTGTGCCAGAGTTACAAGATCCACACCATCAAGAGGTATTTTGAAAAAATGCTTCTTTAAATTAACCAGGTGTCAAGACTGTATTGCTTTGCCTTCCAACTACGCAAGAAATAAAGGTTTCTTCTTTGTTCCTTCCTCAAGAAAACCAGTCATTTTCCTGGTTACTGAATGCCCTCGTGCCCTGGCCGACGCTCACCGGCACGCTGCCAGCCTTCAGGCTGCAGTCACAAGCAGCTGCAGAATCAACTTCCCGGCATAATTGTAGTTTGGAGCCACAAAATAGCTGGGTGTATTGATTTCAAACTACCTGCAAGTCAAAACAAACAAGTGTAGGTGATTTTGACAGTACCGTCACAGTCTGATTGAGAAAGGCTTAATCTACTAAAGCCACCAAAGAATGGCTTGCAGACTATCAGGTTATCTCGGGGGCTACTTATATGTCATGTTTTCTATGTTGTTGTTTATTTACTCGCTAATCATTGATTATTATGCTCCCACGAGGGCTCTGCAATTATCTTCCTACTGCAATACATTTAAATGACTATATTCACCTTGTAATACTTCCATCCTAACAGTAATAAGCATGGGGGTGGGGGGTGGGAGGAGGAATGATTCTACTCATTTCCCTGCAATTACTTTAAGGGAAAAGTAAAAATTAACAAGTGGAAGGGCTTCAGAGGACAGCACTAAAGTTAAGACTCACCTCAAAACAAGTATACACCTGCATTTTAGCAAATCGTCCATTACACTCACTTCACATTCAATTCAGAGAAATAGGAACTTTCAAGGAGTGATTCATCCACTTACTGCAGACATTTAATTTAGGATGACGTGTTCTAGAAATGCTCATTACCTTCCAGTAAATGCAGCAAGAACTTAGAGTGACTTATTAACATGTAGCCACCCAGAAGTAAGACAAATGTCACTTTTCTTTGTTGTTGTTGGAGGGAGGACATTTCTAAACAGAAAACAACTTCCAAACTAAACCAAAAGAGACACCCTAGTCCATCCTGGAGCTCTGAACTTGAAAGTGTTTGGAAAGAGTCACCAGGAAGCTACTTGGAAAATATCTAAAACTTCTAGTTAACTGGTTGGAACATCCAGCCCTCACAGTCTCATAAGTAAACATAGAGTTTCACATCAAAACAAGGCATGACCTCCAAGACACTTTTCCTTAAAGAAATTAAGCTATGTGAACAGTTGCACATTGTACTTTGAAGCATACACACATTATATACAATATACAAACATAAACCCATTTATACACAAAAAAATGCATCTGCATCATCATACGTAAGTACAAATACATATGTGTGCATACATAGGTGCACATATGCTATAAGATAATGCAGATTTATTCTATATTATGCATGCTGGAAGAACTAAAACAGCTTTTAAGATTTTTTTAATTTTTTTTTTTTAAAGCAGCCCTTGCTTCCCTAGCTTTCAATAGTTTGGAAAGGTTTTGACAAAAATAAATAGCACAGAGAACTGAAGGAGTAGTGTTCATAGTCTGAGACAATTATGGGTATAAGACAAGATATCCTTCTGTTTCCCTTCCTAACAACCACTGAAGCAGCAAATACTGTTGCCAATGGCATCAAATGAAATTCTTGTGTTGCTTTTCACCAACTACTTCAGAATATGAGTTTTGAAATACTTCATTCCCCCAGTTATCTGACTATTTATTAGTAAAAGATACAAATGTCACAATTTAAGTTCAAAGGAGATTTTTCCTCATATTAGTCTTACATGAGCATGGGAATTTCTTCTGATATTTTATAACCTGTTTCAATTAATCTTTAAAATTTTCAAATTAATTTAAAAAATCATAAAATACAACTGGCATATAAGTATTTTCATCTTTTTTTTTCTCTAAGAAAATAGTAATATAAATCTTACTGTTTCTGCAATACAGATCCAACTATCAGTGTCACTTCCATCAGGTAAGAAAATGGGACAGAAAGGCCAAACACAAACTGAAAGCGCACAACAAGTCAATGCAAGGCAGAAATACAAGTCAGGATTGCCAGTGATGAGCTTACTATTGCTGAAAATTGGGAAACAAAGAACAGACTACTACTTCTGGCTAGATTGCTATCTTAAGCATATAAAAGCCAAGTAATAAAAACACACATAGAAAAAAAATTAATTTGATTCTTTGCATTTATTTTAATAGAAAAAATAAAACACTGGACCATTATGTTTATTCTTAAATTCTTGAAAATGGTGTTTATTAATTAATACCATAAGGCCAAGTTACTTGTAAGCAAAAGGAAGAAATCCAACATGTGAATTACACTTTGTTACTATCAAGAAGGCCAGTTTCTTTTGTGAACTGCCTACCAAAATGCCTGGTGAAAACAGCACTTTCATCCCAGCTGGAAACTAACATCAGTGGGCTAGGGAGCATGGGGCATCAGCATAAAACTCACAGAGCCAAGTTCAGCAGTCAGAGAATAAGCTAAGTTGCTTGGCTGGTCAAGGCGCTCTGAATTTTTGTTCATAAGTTTTCCTTGCAGGGGTAGCGTAGGTGAGACACATTATTCTGACAAGCATTTATTTTAACTGAGAAAAAAAGCCACGTTTTATTGAAAAATGGAAAACCAAGAGGTTAAGGGGAAAGAATGAGCAATGCAATTAGAAATTTAGGGCAACAAAAGCATTAAAAATGGTCTCTGACAGCACCATTATTGTCCGGATGATGCACTACAGGTAACTAGGGTTCCTGCAGAATAACAATACAATGGTACGACAAGCAGGCTGACAAGAACACTCTACCTTGTAAGATGTATTCTGGTATTGGGAATTCAGGAAAGAGAAAAAACACTTCAAAAGATTAGACATCTGGCCATTTTTTCTGAGTTTTTTTCTTTTAACTCTAAAGAGGTTAGTACTCCTATCAGAATATCTGAAAGACACAAAAATTCCCTTTGGCTAAGCATATTGCCTATCCTTGAATGTCCTGGAAGATTTCTGTCTCAATACAGGGAGGCACATGTGAAATCCAAAATTACTAAGGTGACATGCCATAATCAGGAATCTGGTTACTTCGTTTGGTACCTAGAGCATAGGGTCAAATATGTAGACTCCAGAGCAGAACTAAGCACTGGTAAGGGTGATGAGACCACAAACTATCAGATCAGATGGACTTAATTTTAAGAGAGTGCTACACCCTCCTGTGCCAGATGTAATTCAGCTGCAAGATCATTCCACTAAGTTTCTTACAGCTTTCAGCAGTAAGGAAATCCTAAACCACAGAACACACGCCATTGGCAGCAGAGGCAACACTTGCAGGTAGAAAGCAGGCGGGATCTAAAATCCCACACGAATGGAAATCCTTCTGAGCCACAGGTCCACAGGCAGTCAGAGCAACCCCTGGCCGTGCTCAGAAATAGGTGGGGAAGAGGTCAGATTTAGGGGCCAGCACCAGAGGTGGTGGTAAGAGGTTTGAAGGCATGGAGAGTGGAAGCACGCAAGAAGAGGTTAAGGAAGGAGAGAATGGCGGAATTATTCCCACTGCCCACAGGCACAACCTGACATTGCAACTGATCTCCGAGCTACCACTGCCTTCCATGCCAGATGAGACAGGTGTAGAAACACCAGAGCAGACTCACTGGACTGTGGTCTAGTCAATAAAATTCTGGTATCTCATGCTGACAGCTGACCTTTTAGCTGAACTATGTGAATCTTGAATAGAAATTATTATAGTCTTGTTTGTAAAGACTACAACAGAAACTATGTTAAGAGTTTGCAATCTAGAGAATAATGCAGAATATTATTATGTTTACCAAATAGACAGACAGACCCAAATTGCATTCATGTTACCCACATTAACAGAAAGATGTCTGTAGTAAAATCTATTCTTACAGAAAGACTACAATCAACTGAAGTTTTATGCTATTCACAATGGGGTTTGTTGCTTTCTATTTTTTACTGAACATGCCTGGGAATAGAACCTTCAGTCCCATTTATGACAAAAATCTTGTGGGTTTTAACTGTCTTTATCATGTAACAGTGGGATTTAGCAAGTGTCAGAAAATACAATTTTACCTGCTTATGTGTTCAACCAACTCTATGTAGGTTAAAATACCTTGTGAACTAGCAAAAATATTCTCCTAAAGAGCTGGGGTGTCAGCCTGTTTAATGGTCTCATGTTCAGTATTAGTGAGACATAAAACCTACCAATGACAGTCTTAAAAACAAGCATCCTCAAATTTCCCTTATTGCTTTGGTGGGGTAATGCAGTCTCCAGCCCAACACTGAGCATGCTGGCTTTTGTGTTCAGGGCTGCAGTACCATATCTGATGCTGAAATAGCCCCGTTTTTCTGTCCATCAGCTATCTGACATACGTGTACCAACCAGCTAATTGACATTAAGATTCGGACCCACCTTACCTTCCAGATTTTCTTCTGCACTATGAAATTGCTACTCAAAAATAATAGATTTCCTAACCAGACACTGTCTAGCTGCTGAAGCTTCAGCAAATACCTCAAGAGAAGCTCGTATTTGTTCAGACAGGATTCCTTGTAAATACATCACACACGTGACCTCTGCCTAGGTAATATTCCCTACCTCAGCAGCAGCTAACTTGGCAAAAACCAAGTTTTCCCAGTTCTTAGATAATGTTACTCTTGCAAAGCTATCTTTTAGGACTGAAGATTGTGCAGGTATCTTTACCCTACATGAAGCAGATCCAGTAAAAAAATCCCTTGTCCCTTCACTCCTGCCTGATGAGACAAATTCTGTGTTGAAACTCTGATAACACTGCCTTCACTCTGCCATGTGCTGGTACAAGAGCTACAAAACCATCCCCTACTTCACAGCAGGAGACCTTCTGGTTTAGCTCCTGTACCGTTTGTGGTAAGCGGTGGGCATTCCTGTTATACACGCAGTTGTTAAACAAAAAGAAAGG